CCAAAAAAAAGTACTCCGGTTTGATTTATAATAACTTCTAAACAAGTAAAACTATCAACCAGAAATAACTTGCATTAAATAGAGGAAGGGTTAACTTAGATTTTGATATATTACAGTTGTATTTTACTTAAAAATTCACGGAGATATTAATATTCAAAATCGGGAGCATATTTTGGGATGTGTCTAAAATTAGCGAAAATCGGCATATCAAATATTAACTCCAGCGTTTGTTTGCTTAATGACATATCAGGCTAACTTGTATTTCAGCGAATTATCGTTAGAGTTTGTAAGGGATATGGCGTAGATTTAGACATCTTACATGTAAGTCTTAGCTCATTGTTTCCTGAAATATGAACGTTCGAAATTATGCAAGTATTTAATATTAGTATTTAATATTAGGTCTTCACAAACTTAAAAGTACATGAAAGACCATGGAAGGCAGGCGCTTAAATTTTTCTTAAATAGCCTAATTTTTTTATGTTTTTAATGGGTTCAAACAGACTGAGTTGATTATTTCTCGGTTAGAGCAGGATGAATATTATTCTTTATTGAAGGAAATAATATTGCTTTTTGCAAATACACATCACCGTATCAACGCTACTATTTTGTTATGTTTTGTTCCAAAAATGTTGCATGTCTCTGGGGAGTTGCTTAATTGTTATGTCTTATGGAGTTATATGGTTTGATTGTGTTTCATATAATTCTCAGTTTACTCTGAACTTGCCAAGATTAAGAAAATGCAAAAGAGTTTGGGTGTTCTTAACAAGATTTCAGAACGTTGCAGAAGTTAGAAGAGCTTCACAATTCCATTGTGACAGCATGCCCTAATTCAGAGCTATACGAACGATCCATGACTATCCTTCGCGATGCAGTGGTCTCGTGAAATAAGGAAACGAATCCGTGCTAGGAACACACGCGAATTTTGGACGAATAAATCTTGCTTGTATTTGTAGATATAATAATACTTTGTTTCATAATAAGCGATTTGTCAAGTGTCATTTATTTACTGGTAATAGTTCATGTTTCAGTCAGGCAAATCTTGATTAATATTTGATACGCCGTTTTTTCCATATTTCAGACACATCCAGAAATATGCTCCCGATTTTAAAGATTAATGTCTCCGTGAATTTTTAAGTGAAATACAACTGTTATATATCAAAATCTAAGTTAGTCCTTTCTCTATTTGATGCAAGTTATTTCGCTTTAAAAGTTTTACTTGTTTAGAAGTTATTACGAATCAAACAGGAGTACTTTTTTTTGGGACACCCGGTATATATATATAGTCAAATTTAAAGTATGTATACTGTATAGGGAGTGTTTGAGTGAATATCAGTGAGTACATGTAGATGTCTTATGTATAAAGCGGGATTTTTTTAAGAACGAGGAAACATGCATGACTTATGTATCATAAGACTGTGTGTCAGTCACTGAATGTATAAAGCGGTTTTTTTTAGGAAGAAGGAAACATATATGCCTTTATGATTTATGTATCATGACTATGCGTCATTGATTGTATATAAAGCGGGATTCTTTTAAGAACGACGAAACATGCCTTTATGACTTGTAGGTATAAATATAACTATAAGACCGGTTTGAGTGCTAAAATGTGTAATAGAATATTTCTTATATTTGATTACAAAACAACGTTTCATATACCTGCATGCATTAATATTTACAATCAAGTTGATAAAATTAAGCGAGAATATACAGTATATACAGTTTTGACTATGTCTAAATAGGCATGTATATTGTGTATATTTTGTATATGTATACCATAGTCTATACACTATATACACACTATATATAGACTAGCTATAGCAAGTTGATAAAAGCGAGATTGCGAGAATATACAGTTTTGACTATAGACATGTTTGTCACATGTATATTGTGTATAGGAGATGAGTATACACTGTAAAGCATATGTATACAAAATATGCAGTGTATACTGGTGCAGTGGTAGAGTATATTGTGTATATTCT